TGTATGTAAGCAATGTGGGAAAGCTTTTAGTACACAAAATTATTGTAATATACATGAAAAAACTCACAATAGTGAAAAGCCCTATGTATGTAAGCAATGTGGGAAAGCTTTTAGTACACAAGGTTCTTGTCAAAGACATGAAAAAACTCACAGTGGGGAGAAACCCTATCTATGTAAGCAATGTGGGAAGGCTTTCAGAAGGCATAGTGATTGTAAAATACATGAAAGAATTCACACTGGAGAGAAACCCTATGTTTGTAAACAATGTGGAAAAGCTTTCAGCAGGCACAGTCACTGTAAAAAACATGAAAGAAATCACAGTGGCAGGAAACCCTATGTATGTAAGCAATGTGGGAAATCTTTTAGTACACAAGGTTCTTGTCAAGGACATGAAAGAATTCACAATGGGGACAAACCATATGTATGTAAGCAATGTGGAAAAGCTTTCAGCATGCGTAGTACTTGTCAAAGACATGAAAGAATTCACACTGGGGAAAAACCCTATGTATGTAAGCAATGTGGGAAAGCGTTCCGTAGTCACAGTCAATGTAATATACATGAAAAAACTCACAATAGGGAGAAACCCTATGTGTGTAATCAGTGTGGAAAAGCTTTTATTACACAAAAGTATTGTAATATACATGAAAGAATTCACAGTGGGGAGAGGCCCTATGTATGTAAGCAATGTGGGAAAGCTTTTACTACACGAAATTACTGTCGTGTTCATGAAAAAACTCACACTGGGGAGAAAACCCATATATGTAAGCAATGTGGGAAGGCTTTCAGTAGTCACAGTCAATGTAATGTGCATGAAAGAACTCACAGTGGGGAAAAACCCTATGTGTGTAAGCTATGTGGGAAAGCTTTTACTACACAAACGTATTGCAATATACATGAAAGAGCTCACAGTGGAGAGAAACCCTATGAATGTAAGCAGTGTGGGAAAGCTTTTAGTACACAAAGGTATTGCAATATACATGAAAAAACCCATGCTGGGGAGAAGCCCTATGTATGTAAGCAATGTGGGAAAGCTTTCAGTAGTCGCAGTCAATGTCATATACATGAGAGAGTTCACAGTGGGGAAAAACCATATGTGTGTAAGCAGTGTGGGAAAGCTTTTACTACACAAAGGTATTGCAATATACATGAAAGAGCTCATAGTGGGGAGAAACCCTATGAATGTAAGCAGTGTGGGAAAGCTTTTAGTACACTAGGTTCTTGTCAAAGGCATGAAAGAATTCATGGTGGGGAGAAACCCTATCTATGTAAGCAGTGTGGGAAAGCTTTCAGCAGGCACAGTGAATGTAAAATACATGAAAGAAACCACAGTGGAGGGAAACCCTATATATGTAAGCAATGTGGGAAAGCTTTTAGTACACAAAATTATTGTAAAACACATGAAAGAATCCACAGTGAGGAAAAACCGTATGTATGCAAACAGTGTGGGAAAGGTTTTAGTACACAAGGTTCTTGTCAAAGACATGAAAGAATTCACACTGGGGAAAAGCCTTATGTATGTAAGCAATGTGGGAAAGCTTTTAGTACACAAGGTTCTTGTCATGTACATAAACAAACTCACACTAGGGAGAAACCCTATATATGTAAACAGTGTGGGAAAGCTTTCAGCATGTATAGTACTTGTCAAATGCATGAAAGAACTCATACTGGGGAGAAACCCTATGCATGTAAGCAGTGTGGAAAAGCGTTCAGCAGTCACAGTAAGTGTAATATACATGAAAGAACTCATAGTGGAGAGAAACCCTATATATGTAAGCTATGTGGGAAAGCTTTTACTACACAAAAGTATTGCAATATACATGAAAAAACTCACAGTGGAGAGAAACACTATGTGTGTAAGAAATGTGGGAAAGCTTTCAGTATGTATAGCACTTGTCAAATACATGAAAGAACTCATTCTAGAGAGAAACCCTATGTATGTCAGCAGTGTGGAAAAGCTTTCAGCAGTTACAGTCAATGTAGTATACATCAAAGAACTCACAGTGGAGCAAAACCTTACGTATGTAAGCAGTGTGGGAAAGCTTTTACTACAAAAAGGTATTGCAGTATACATGAAAGAATTCACAGTGAGGAGAAACCCTATGTATGTAAGCAATGTGGGAAAGCTTTTACTACGCAAAATTATTGTAATGTACATGAAAGAACTCACACCAGGGAGAAGCCTTATATATGTAAGCAATGTGGGAAAGATTTCAGCATTTATAGTACTTGTCAAATGCATGAAAGAAGTCACAGTGGGGAGAAACCCTATGTATGTAAGCAGTGTGGAAAAGCTTTCAGCAGTCATAGTAAATGTAATATCCATGAGAGAACTCATAGTGGAGAGAAACCCTATGTATGTAAGCAATGTGGGAAAGCTTTTACTACACAAGGATATTGCAACATACATCAAAGAACTCACACTGGGGAGAATCTCTTATAAGCCATATAGAAAAGCATTTAGTACACAATGTTATTGTAAAGTACATGAAAAACCTCAAGCTAAGCAATGTAGAAAAGGTTTTAGCAAATACTGTAAAAGATGTGAAAGAACTGACTCTTGGTCTTAGTTCTCTCTATAAATCTGTGTGGGCAAGTTTTAGCATGCCTAGAGCTTGTCAAAGGCAAATAACTCAATGGGGAGAAAACATATAGTAATTACACCAGTCTGTTGTCAAATGAAGTCTCACTGGAGAGAACCATTTCATATATTCAAGCCTATTCTAAAGTGATGTCACCAGTGTGAAGCAAGCCAGCCTGGCTGCTCCTAGTTCCTGGGGTGAGGGCTCTTGCCCTCAAGGATCCAGGGGTGCACCGCAGGCCTGCTCCATTCCTCAATCAGTTCAGCTATCAGGCTCTGGATGGAGATTTCTGTTGCAAAAAATATAAAAGCAATCTTTAAGCCATTGTGAAAGTCCTGTGAATATTTCTCATGTAGTGGAAGACTATAGGGATAATTAGTATAAAAAGTTTAATGTTAATGTTTTGTAGAAAATATCCCAGATAGAAAATCCTAAAATACGTATTATGTGTTTTTCAGTAAATCAGTTAAATATGTATGATGTACAAATAAAAAGTGAATTAATTTTTTTTTTTTTTTACTTTCAAGCACAGTTTTTTTTTTTTTTTTTGGTCTTTACAATTGGAAAATATAGGCCACTAAACAGCTTAATTTTCTTAATTGCTTTTTGTTAATTTTTGGGATTTTGTTACTACCTTTGTTTTAAATTCTAATTGTGTTTATTCTATTTTCTACGCAACAGATATTTTCATTTGATACCATATTTTAAGATATTTTCAGACTTGTGAATGTGATTTTGAAAAGGTGATTTGTTTCTGCACATCTTGAAGATTAGCACGTTATGTTTCTCATATGACAAGATACCTGCTTATCATGTAGTATATCATTCATGTACATAATTTTGTCTATTTTTCTTTCATGTTAGGGCCAGTATTATCATTTACATAAAATTGTTTTCTTACCATCAAAATTGGACTTTTCTTATTTATATTCCAATGATGGAATTTGGTTGTAATTTCCCCACCATATAGGTCCAAGATATCTGAAGCTTGCCGTTTTCTTATTGACAGATCAGCAGGACCATAAGTTGTCTCTAAAACAACATCATGAATTATAATAATCACACCAAAATTGTAGATAGCTGATTTATTAGAAACACTTTCAAGGGAATTTTTGTGAGCGAAGTTGTTTGGGGAGAATTACTGCTATTGAATGTAACGAGGCAAAGGTCTTTTTTCCCTGATGCTGTGATGCCATTGTATCTTTGGTATTCATATCTTTTGGGACAGATTTTCACTGTTTAGTTCAGGTTTGCCTTGAATTCACTGTATCATTCAGGGTAGCCTCAAACTCATGGCATAATTCCTGCCCCAGCCTCCTGAGGGCTGGGATCACAGGCACATACTACCATCTCTGACCATCATTATTGTTATTGCCTAATAAGAAATAATATCACTCATGAGAGACATCAGTCAGTTTTGTGGAAAGTGGAATTTACTAAATTATAATTCAGATTGTATTGTTTCATCAATTTTAGAGATAAATTGATACAATGACATTTTTATTATTCATAAGCACTGTCTGATGTTTGAAGTATGTGACAGATTTCTTCAGGCATGGACTGGCTCAAGGAGGTGCATGAGTCCCAGTTGGTCTCCTATAACCTACATTTTAAAATATTTAACACTGAAATATTTTGTAAAATGTTGTTTGCAGTGTTTTCAAATACAAAAACTGCTTAGTTTCTGATGGTTACAGTGTTGCGAACTTATGATATCATGAAATCATAAGTGAACAATTCATCTTTAAATACCCATAATGCATTGAACATTATAGCTTGCCTTACTCTTCATTATACTTAGACACAAATGATTCTCCAGCTGTGTAATACTTTTTTTTTTTTTTTTTTTTTTTGCAGAACTAGGGATTGAACTCAGGCCCTTGTGCTTGCCAGAGAAGCGCTTATTCCACTGAGCCATCTCCCCAGCCCCTAGCTGTGTAATATTATATCTAAAGTATCTGATATAATTTATGAAGTATAATATACTGCAAACTACAGTGTCGATTTTTATGTCTTACAACTTGTGCCTAACTTCCCTGTAGCAAATTTCTGCTGCTTTGCTTTTTTTTTTTCTTTCTTC